ATGCCGTTAATTTTCACCAATGGGTCGATCCTGTTGATCAGCTTTCCGGAGACAACACCAATCGGCCCATTACCTTTTCGGCTAATGGAACCTTTTCTGGCTTCGGCGATGGTTGTTCCAGCATTGATGCCATTTTGGCAAATAGGGTCGCCTCCTCTGCCATCCTTGACGCTGAAGTTCTTTCGTATTTCAAAGTTCAACACCGACCTATTCGGTTGACTCTTGCCTGGGACAGAATTTGGCAGATTGGGTACACGCTCCACAAGACTGCACCTTTTGTGTGGGACTCCCATTCCCTTTCCACCCAAGGGTCTGTTGACGAACACCCACCCTGGGATCAAGGGGACGATGTTGAGACTTGCTGGAATCGCACCAACTCTGCTTGCATTCAAGTCATGCTTGATTCAGGGGCCACCTGGGGAGCCGGTCCCCAAACAAGAGGCCAACCTATCCAATTTCGCCCCAAGAAGGTTTGCCCTGGTCAACTTTTGAACGGTCATGCTACCAACTTGGTTTGCTCGTGGCTGCACAATGCCCTTGGGGGCCTTCGTGAAATTGAGATCTTTCTTACCCGTAATCTCCGCGGTGACACCAATCGATGGATTCAGCGCCGCACCTTCGTTAGGGTTTGGAACCGCCTCGCCAGGCTTCGTGCGCCAATTTTGTGGCCGTCGTCCCGGAGACCCACACTCGTCGAAGTGACTGTCGCCATTCAGTGGGTCCAAGACCAGATTGCAGTTGGGGAACTTAAGCTCAAAATCAAACGCATCCAAGCATGGAAGCAGAAGATACAAGACTCCGCGAAGATTGGGTCCACCTTCCTTTTTCATCACCTCAAGAACAAAGTCTCTACGGAGCCTGCAAACTTGGTCATTGATCAACAAGGGAACGCCATTTTTGACCCCCAAAGCGCTTTGACGGAGATCAATAATCAGTGGGACCCCATTTTCAGTGCCAACTTGGGTTTTCCCCCTGCTATTAAGATGCTCGACATTGTGTGGCCACACATCCACCACTTTCACTATGACTACCCCGTTCCGGACATCACAGGTAGCGCCTTAAAGCAGGTCGTCCACAAGAGGAAAAAAAACGGCTGCACCTGGGCTCGATGGATGGCGCACCACAGAAATGCAACACCTTCCGTGCGCTTGCTTTGACTGGTTCGCCGCTCTCTTTAGCCGCCTTGAAGAATCCGATGAACCACTCCCCCGTGTTATGGCAACCGCTCGACAAATAATCCTCAACAAGAACGGTAGTTCTGAACCTCTGCAGAAGAGGCTCATTACTTTACTTCCTGTCATTTTACTTGCGTACACGGGTGCACGTTTCATTCATCTCAAGGAATGGCAGATGTACATCATGCCTGATCAATTGCAAGGGGGAATTCCACAGCGCCACATGGCTGCGATTCACACCCAGTTTGCTATCACTCTTGAACACATGCGGCACGAGCAATGTGACTTGATTGGGGTTAAAATTGATAAAGCAAAATGTTTTGACCGCATTATCCCTGAATATGCTGGAGCATTAATGCTTGCTTTCGGAGTCCCCAGACGTGTTGTCTCGTTCTTCCTGAAGCTGTATCAGGGCTTGACGAAACACCTCTCATACAAGTCATGGGTCCAGCCGTCGCCCACACACGGACCGAACGGTGTTGCACAAGGTTGTAGCCTTTCGCTCATTGCCATTAATGTGCACATGAAAGCACGGGTCCATTTACTCGCAGTCCTGCCAAATGTCACAGCACAGGCTTTTGTTGATGACGCCTACCTGTGGGTTCGCTTAATCCATAAGCATGATTTAGTCCAGGCCATACGTATCACACAGTCTTGGGATGCCTTGGTCGGCCAAGCCATGAACTGGTCCAAATGTACTGTGTGGGGATCCTCCACGGAGGCCCGGAAATGCATTAAGCACCTTTTTCCTAACATGCGATTTGCCCTTGAACTTGAAGTCCTTGGCGTTCATGTTCAGACCAGTTTTCGTAATGCTTCTCATTTCTCGGATGATAAGCTGGCTAAAATTATTGCTGATGTTCGGAATATTGCTTGTTTGCCAATTTCCATTGCCCAGAAGGCCAAAATCATCGGTGCAAAAGTGATCCCACAGTGCACATATAATGCCGCCATCAACCAAATTCCAGCGCGTGCCCTTGCGCGCATACAGGGTGAAATTGTGACAACTCTCTGGAACAACCGACCACATTGGCGTGCAAAGTTTCTGGTTTTTGCCTTTTTGTGCAAGCCTCACCGTGTCGAGCCTATGTGTGCTAGGCACTATAATGCTATCCTGGACTTATGTAGGTATCTCCATCTCTTTCCTGGGGAACGAACCAGATTTGATCACCTACTAAGCCATAACAAGAAAATGCAAGGTACCCTGACGGGCAAGATTCAGGAAGCTTTTCGCTTTTTTGGCCTTGAATTGAGCAATGATGGTGACATACGACTGGCTGGCGCCTTCCTCTGTCGCCTTGACCAGCTGTGCCCACGGGACGTCCGCCCCGTTCTACAGCAACTCGCCAGACATGCTTGTTACTCCTTGGCCAGTCAACAAAGTAGGAAAGACTTTCGGGCACCTGAAGGCTTTCTTGATTTTTGGCTCTCCACGTCCTTTTCTCGGCAAAAAGAAGAGCACAATGATGACATTCCCCAGAAAGCCTTTTTTGAGGCCCAGCTTGTCGGGTGTGTCCTTACCAAAGATCGCCTTGCTGCCGCTAAGAGGATCCCTGATCCCACATGTCGCTTGTGTCAGGAAACCAAGGAATCACTTCCTCATCTAGTCAGAGAGTGTCAGGGTATTCGTGAACTCCATGGCCCTCCACCTGTTCATGAGCTTGGCCCCAATTTCGAGCTCTTGGGTATTGTTGAACACCCAACATCGATCCTTGCTCACCGTTTGCAAGTTTCTGACCCTAAACAACTCGAGATTGCACCTTGGAACCCGGGTCAGCCCCAGGTGACGATGTGGACAGACGGCTCCGTGCAATGGCCGTCCCATTTCATTGTCAGTTGTGCTGGTTTTTCCATTGTTCGCCATGATGGTAGTGTTTTGCAATCCGGCCCTGTACACCACTGGAACCTCTCAAGCTATACAGCCGAACTTTGGGCCATCCTAGTTGCCCTCACGACAGCTTCAGGTCCCGTGCACGTACGCACTGACTCACAAATCGTTTCTCGGCATGTGAACTATTTGATCTCTGGGAGCGGAGTAGATAAAACATGGCCACTACAGGCATGGTGGAACTTCATGCACAACCTTTTTCGGCAACGACTCGCGCTTCACGACACTCCCTTGGTTTGTTCTTGGATACCAGCTCATGTTGCTGAGGATATTCCAGAGTACTTGCTTTCGCATAGCATAGCAGATGCACACGGCACAACAGTCCTGGATATCTTGAACAACCGACGCGCCGACGTTGCGGCAAAAAAAGCCGCTTTGGGTAATGCTGCCATTCACGCAACAGTATACCCAGCCTTATGTCAAGCTGTTCTTCATCGTCAACAATGGCTTACTGGTTTGTGCAAGTTGATTGGGAACACACTTCCCCCGCGTGAGTCAGATTCTGAGGACGAAATTGACAACAGTGCGCCGGATCCACAACACCGCTTTCCTCTTCTTCCTTGGAATGAAGATGTTGCAAAGTACCGTTGGCAGATTCCCTTTGAATTTGATCATACTCCACCTGCTTGCTGGCCGGCTGCGGCACATGATTGGTCGGTCTTCACGGCCTTCTTGAAAAGTCTGAAGTGGTTTGTACATGAGGACGCACGTATCTCCTATGCTGAACTGGCCGTACTTCTTGTTGGAAAGCAGTTCCGTTTGGAAGCTTTTAACGACGAGTTTTACACTTTCAAGACCCTGATATGTTGTGTGAAGAAGTGGTGCGGTCTTCTACTTCGGCGCGGATGGGGACCACTCTTTCCGGGCACCCATGATGCACATGAGCATAACGCCTGGGGAAAGACGATGCCCAGCGGCATTGTCGTTGGTGCGAGACCATGGAGGACGACTGAGGACCTTTGTTTTCTTACGTCTGTAGCGGACCGGGTCGTGAGAGCTAACCTCTCATCCTGGGAGTTTGCAGTTCATGAATTTTCAACTTGAACCTTTTCTTTGGTCTGTTTGTGGCCTGCTGGCTACCTTTTCGGGGTTTTCTTTAGGTCATCTTGTGGCATGCAGATGACCATGTACAGAAGGGATGAACCCTTCGTGTGCGCGAGAGGCAGAAGAGGATTTTGCACTTGAGGGTGGTGTATGGTCCTCAAGAGTCTACATTTGGGGCAAAGCGAGAGGTGATCTTTCGCTCTCGGTCGATCGCTCCGACGTTTGGCGCTTTCTGCGGCGGTTCAGAGACTCCCGCTCCCGGCGGCCGCGGACTCCGAGCACCGAAAGTGGAGAGACCTCCAGCGTGGGACCTCCGACCCCGACTCGGCTGTGGCGGTGGCTGTGGAGAGGATGGTTTCACCTGCGGAAACGCCGGGGTTCACCAGACCTGTGATGGACGAGAGACACTTGGTCTACGGTCAGATGCAGAGAGACGAGACACCGGGACACGCTCCAAGACCTGGCTCTGAGGGAACGCTGCTGTGGGAAATCCAAGCGCGAACGCTGCTGAACTCCAGACCTCACAAGTGTGTGTCTCACAAAACGATGGAGGTCATCCATAAAATGACTGGGCGGGTGTGCTTGGGTTCACGATTGGCCGGTACGCAAATGTGGCAGGAGCCAAAAAATGATTCATGTCCAAAGAGCTGGCTTGCAAACATGTTCAGAAGGAAGCTCGATATAACCATATTATATATATATATATTAAGGCGGCGCAACCAACACTGTGCGATGTGTCAATCTTGTACAAATGCTGCCAGACTGGTAGTGAACCGTTCTATTTTCTCAAGCACAACACTTGCAGGACCCTTTGATCGTGGCCCTGTGACCAACCGTTGGCCGATCGCAGTTCCCGGATGCGACCCGGATGCGAAGCCTCGAAGCCGTCCGAGGTCCAAAGCGAAATGCCACGGTGGGGTCTTTGTGAATGACTCGGACTTCCAAGTGACCTTCTTTGCCGTGCGACCTTGCACCACAGAGGAAGAGGTGGGTTTTGGATGGTTGGCTGGTGTTTTTTGTGCTTTTTGGGGTTCTTTGTGATCAGGAACAGCAAGTAGTGCGAACACTTTCACTTCCAAAAACTCTTCTTTTTGAGTAATGTATGTTGCTTGCGAAGTTGCAATGTGAAGACTTCTAGGTGGGGCATGATGCTACCCCCTGTGCATAGAGATGCTTGCAACGTCAACGATTTTTCTTTGACCGCCATCGCCCCTTGACTTCTTAAAGAACCCCCTGCTTTCATGTTTTTTCGCTGCTGGCAAGGTTTCTAATTTGATGACTGCCCGCACAATGGGGCTTTGGTGGAGTTGAACTTTCAACATCGCACATCAATACCGTTGATCCAGCAGTTGGTTTATGATAAGATGATGTTGTTTGTTTTCGCTTCTTTCTTCTCAATTTTCTCGGAGGCCTGGTCTCCTGGCCAGCAGCTGGCCTCTTCTGTCGCTGCTAGCGCTGGCGGTCTCGTGCTGCCGTTCCCCCACGTGAGTGCCGCGGAAGCCCGGCAATTCCACATCCCCACAGAAACCACGTCCGGTTGCCCAGCGGAGTGCGAGCAACACTTCTTGTGCCGAGAAGGCTGGTCGGGTGGGTCTGGGAGCAGGGGGAAGGTGCTGTACACTTGCAAGGGGAGGAGGCAGACCAGGGATCATTGCTTCTCATTTCACGCCGATCACCCTGGATTTTGTTGTCATTTTGTTGTTTTCCTTTTTCCTTCTCCTCGTTCTTCGTCTTATGATCAGGTGATCGTGTTTTGCGCTTCAAACAGGACTCACATGGTTTGCAGGTCAGGGAATTTGGGACATATTGAAGAGCGAAGGCCCAAGTTGTAAAACTAGACGACGAGTGGCCCGAAAGCATTTTTCATCACGTAGGAAGTCAGAGTGCGAGTTATCCGGTAAGTGTGCAGTGAGAAGTGTGTGGGTTGAGGTAGTGTGTGGGTTTCTGTGCGTGTGTCTATGTCCGTGTGGAAATGAGTCTGCGTATGTGTGTGTTCGTGCAAGTTGAGGGAGTGTGTGGGTGTCTGTGTGTGATGCGGCCTCCCAAACCCCCCACCGGCGGCCAAGCGGTGACAGCCCAGCTCATCGTCGTGAGCATTTGGGCTGCTGGTAAGGGGAGAAGCAGCGTGCAGAGCGCCAGGAAAAGCTCACGGAAAAAAACGAACCGGAATGAGGACACAAAAGTGCCGAGGCAGGTGCGCCAGAAGTGTCTCGAAGCAGTGACCTGTCAGAGGAGATGAACGAAGTAGCGCGCAGGCCTCCCAAACCCCACCGGCGGCCAAGCGATGACAGCCCAGCTCATCGTCATGAGCATGTGAGCTGCTGGTAAGGGGAGAAGCAGCGCGCACGGGTGTAGGGAATCTCACTGAAAAAACCCAGCTGGAATGAACA